AAGAAAGAGATTAGCGTAACAATGGTAATAACGTTTGATGCTAAGGAAAAGAAATGGCTCAGAAAACTTCCGAGAAAGTCTTCGCGTTTTTTCAAAGAATTGCAAGAACAGTTGTGTGTGTGCTTCGAGCGCTTCGCTGAACATGTGATGCACTCCGCAGCGAAATTGATTTGGCGTCTGTAAAACGGTAGAAAAAAAGGAAAAAGTATTTGCACTGTGAACTTAGGAATAGCGAAAGGGAAAAAAACAAAGGTTTGTGTGATTGTTTTTGGATTGTATTATGATTTTATCTTAGATTAGGTTGAGCAACTTTCGAGTTGTTAGTCAAGTGAACCAACCGAATATTTAAAAAAAAAAAGAGGGAAAGGAGATTTAAAACCAAAATTAAAGAATGTTATTTACATCTGAAAAATTCAGATATAATTTAACAAATACCTCAAAGAAGTATTTACCATTAGAATTTATTAAAAATTAAAAAAAATAGGAATTGTCACACATAGTTCGTTGGCTTATCTTCTAAATTAAAGATAATTATTGCCAAAACATATTGTTACGTTTTTTATTCTTCTGACACCAGTTGTTACGTTATTTTCTTCCTTCATGTTCGTACGGGGTTCGTGTGGATTTGGAGTGAATAACTACGACACTTGATGAAGTATCGAAACACACTTTATTTACCAATATTAATCAGGGCAGCTCCAAAACACTTTTACAGTCGTCGAAGATCTACAATAAACACGCTGGAGCAATCAGCGACACAGCCTTCACACTGTCAGGCAATAATGGTGGAGACAGCTTCACTGCAAAGCACCTGAGTACAGCTTCCAACTCTTCGGTCTCGACACTCTCCACGCGATGCACTCGACGATACACAAGAGTGTAGCTCTCGACTCAGCACAGTCAAAGACAAAACTCGACGATGCACTAATTCATGATGCACTCGACGACCAACTCGGCGTTAGACTTCGAGACACTCGCTCATAGACTGACTATCAGCTCGCTAGATGAGGCACACACACTAACTGACTGCGGAACAGCAGGGTTTATATAGGTTTTCGGCTTGTGCTCGAGAACATTCTGGGTTAAACCGGTAAGAATTCGTTCCAGAAGGTTCTCCATCCGTCCATGGCATATCGCCAATTTTGTCACCAAATGTCGCCAAATGGGCGATTTCTCGCCAAATGTGGCAACTTTGCCTTCCCTTACCATTTTATGGCAACCCTAAGCCTGCTTCGCGGGGAAGCTATCTCACCGCGCCTGTACATTTCGTAACACTATATAAGATATTTTCTCCCTCCTTACAGCATGACTTCGTGGTGTAAAGGTAGCACATTCGGCATGTATTCGAGACGTCCAGGTCGAGTCCTGGCTTGGCTACGGCTCATTTTTCATGTCTCCTGCTTTAAAATAATCTAATGATTCTACGCTTTAAACTATAAATCTTTCTTATACTGAATAAAATTAAACTTAAAAGTGTGTTTAAATTTAAAAAAAATCTGGCTCTTTTTTCTGCATTCCGTTTTGGAACGTTAAATGGTGTAAACAGAAAAATGTAAAAGTATTATTAAAAAATATCTTACTATTTTTTATGTTATGCTAATCAGGGTACTTACGTATTAACGCCACCGCAAAAGAAGTTGCTCTGATGCGCCAATAAAGAGCAATCCTGTTGTTCGCACGCAGTTATCGTTTGGATTCCTTTTTGCCTTGTTATTTGCTGATTTTTGACGCCATTTTTTAGAGCTACGAAAATGCGTCTTTGGAATTTGCCAAACACAGAAGAAGATGCAATTTTATTTTTTTTTTCAGGAGCGAAATATTTTACCAAAAAAAAAAAAAAAAAAAAAAAATGTACCAATTTGCATGATATGAAACTTTATTTTGGTAAACGTACATTTTGGAAATGTAATTTAAGATAGTGTGATCAGCAAGTGGGATTTAGAAAAGACAACTGGTTTGAAGGAAGCAGAATTCCATTTTGTTCAGCTCTGAGATTCATATACTGCTGGTGAGAGGAGTTGACGCCGATTAAATTTTGCGAAAAGCAACTTGATTTATCGAATAAACTGTTATAGATTGGAACAATTACATACGTGAATTATGTGTCTTGGATATGGAAAATAAACCAAACAAGAAGGTAGGTGGACCAGACTGCACTGCGAAAATTGATGAACGTTTGTTTACTAAGCGTAAAAATGGTTGAGTATTACCCGAACAGTGATGTTTGGTGGTATATGTAGAGAAACAAAATATTCGTTTGTTGTCACTGTTCCTAATAGAACTGGCTCTACCCTTCTTAATAAAATTATTGAAAACATTGCAGATGGTAACACAATTTATTCTGACAGTTGGAAAGCTTACCAAACAAATAGAATAGGAAAAGAAGGAATTCCTACATGCTAAAGTTAATCATAAATACAATTTTATTCATCCTGAGAAAGGATTTCATACACAAACAGTTGAGAGAATGTGGGGCAGAGCTAAATGGAGGAACAAGAGACATAGGGGGACAGCGAGACATCATTTAGAATCTTATTTAGCAGAGTTCATATGGCGACAGCATCAGGTCAAAGAAAATAGAGACTGTTTTGAATCTATGTTAAGCTCTATGTCGGCCCATTTTCCACCGAAATCCGATTGTCTACTTTGATTTTAAATAAAGTGTTTAATTTATGATTTGTTGCAAAAATTTTAGGTGTAGATTGGCGGCACTTAAAAACCGCCAAATCTGCAGCTGCGGTGGATGTTAATACGTAAGTACCACAATCAGGTGCAAAATAAAACTTATTGCAAAATGTTGTTGCAAAGTTAAGAATTACGATTAAATATTAAGAATCTAGTTCAAATGATCTTTTTAAATGTCTAACTGTATTAAGCAATGGATTTTTATAACAGTTAAGGTAAATAAAAGATCTCATACATCATTGACTGACGATCTGTTAAGACAAATTAGGTTTTATGGAAGAGTGAAAGTTATGAAGTATCTTCGACGACTTACTGCTGTGCCCATTTTAGAATAAGTTGCTACTTGATTTAATAATATATAAGAACGTTCTGTTTCAGATTTCTTATAAGCCCTTTTTCATATCGAAACATTCCTTAATTCTTAATTTTCAGCTCCCGTTTGATAAAAATTTGCAGAAAATTCGTTGCTGAAGTCGAATGTTTTTTTAAAAAATTTGCGATTAATTTTACTGTAACGAAACAACTCGAGTGTTACAGAAACGAAAAAACGAATATTCTTCTTGAAGACGTCAGGTAATATTTAAGTTACAAAGGAGGATGCTCTCGTTAAAGGCGTTTTAAGGGAAAATTTCTAGTCTTCACGAAAGCTCACATGAAGTCGAACCCGTTCTTAAGAATTTGAACCCAGATCGAAATACCAGTGTCTAAGGAACTTATTTTTCAGCAACAGGCGAGCTCCTAAAACGACTTTTCAATTAAGAATTTTATTCAAATGCCTTTAAAAAGGCTACAGAGATATGAAATTGTACAAAATTTCGAGTTTCGGATCTAGTAAAAGATAGGGCTTCTGCTGTATGAATTCTTAGTTGTTCCGAAATGAAAAAAAAATTTTTTTTTGCTCGAAATTTAGAAATATTCATCACTAAGAGAAAGAACTATTCTTATACCATAGATCGTACAGATAAATACTTAGATAATTTTTAAGAACATGCATTGCTTATCTCCGTCTTTTTTCTCGTTGCGAACGTTAATTGTTAGTTTCATTGCTTTTTTTACGGCATACCTCATTGCTTTATCATATTGTAGCTAGTGTACACGCTTTTTCTTTTACAACAGAGATAAATACTGCATAAAGCACACGTCATGATATAAGACTTCGTGATTCTCAGCAGGTAAGTTTTTCCAAGCGTATATATTACTTTATTGTACTTACTTACTTTATTGTAAGCAGCAATGTTTACTTTTTTATTTAATGCTTTCGAAAGCTCGAAAGATAGTCTTTATAAGCTTCTTTTTTAAGAAAATTCCGAATCATACTACTTTTGAAATAAAGATTATGTTTTTAACGTCAAGTAGCCTTCCTTCCTCCACTTTAAAGAAGTAAATATATAGGCGACTTCGGCGGCTCAGTGCCGAGTATGACATTAGTTTTACTGCGAAGCAGAAGTGTAAATGCATAGGAAGGCAAAGTTAATGTACAGAAATTTGCCGCCTACCTGGTATAGCGGTTGAAAAATCCTTGGCTTAAAATCGCTTAAAATGTTGGCTCCGACCCAAGTAGATATTCCATAGCCGTGCGGGATTGGATACTAACCCAGCATATGTCAAAGGCTATCTGCCAGACCACGGTCCAACTGCTGTATCGATGAGTCCGGATTCGAATACCCAAGGATGGATGTTTATAAGAGTATAGCATCTATATGACAAAGGAAAACTAAAAATACATGGTGAACCGAAAGTGTTGTCGAGAATTTGGTGGCAGGGAAGATCCCCGGTCTGCCTCTGTCGAAACTGGAGCGGAACTGCACAGTTACTGCAGGGCAACCATTACCTGTACGACCAATGGTGAACTTCTGGCACTTATGTCTACACCTGTGTAGAAATTTGCGTGTACTCTATTTAAATGCTCCTTATTTTTCAATAAATTTGCTATTTGTGTCAAAAGCTTTCAAATACATTTTTTGGGAATTAAAAAATAAACAAATCAAGTAAATGTTATCATGTGAAACTGAAGTGTGAAGAGGAGAAAAACTAAAGCGTCTAAATTTAGTCAAATTTGGTATTGTGACACGATAACACGTTTTAGTAAGAAAATTTCATGAAAATGCATTCATAGCGTGAAAAACCAAAGGAAATAAATAGCAAAGAGAGAAAGAAAAACTTGTTTTGATTTCAATAGTAATGCAAAGAATGACATTACAGGGCATTTTTCAAAATATTTTTTAAAAATTTTTTTTCTTTACCTCAGTTTTGAAAATAATCATGTCCAGTCTTAGACATTTTTACTAATACTTCCTCCATACTTTCTTTTACAGCTGCACATAATCTACTCCAGTGATTCAGTGGGACTATTTTTCAAAATTTCGATGTACCTGGGCGAAATCGTACTGTCACCTGCAAGATGTCGAAGGCTGATGCCAACGACAGACACAATCCTGCTCTCCTCGTCACAGACAATTCATGGACTTGTTATACTGTTACTGTCAGATAGTTACAATAACAGTTAGCATTTTGTTATCCGTCGTCTTTTAACTGTCAATTTCTATAACGTGTCAGCCACTGAGCTGAATGAATAGATGTTCAATAGCTGATTAAATTTATCAAGGAGGTAAAAATAAAAAATAAGTACCAAAGTATTAAAAAAATAGTAAAATGAGAAATGAAATATTGCAATCTGAAAATTTCAGATTACATTCTAACAGCTTAAAAAGATTTTATCCCTTGAAAAAAAAAAAAAACAAAAAAAAAAAAAAAAAAAAAAAAAAAAGGTTTTAAATTTAAAACATAGGAAAAAAATCATATACAAGTATTTCTGGCCGAATTCATCTGCTGGAACTAAATTGGGAAATTAAGACTTTTATCTTAAAAAATTAAAACTCAGAATGAACCCCATATGGAAAAAAAGGGCTTTGGCATTCTGCGTTTGGCTTTTGAAAGAACAGGTCTAAACAGGAAAATATCAAAATATTAAGAAACTGAGAGGATTATTATTTAAAAAAGTGTATATATATAGAAATGATTGCTACAAAATTTCCTCTTAACTATAAAATTTTATTCTGAATGCAGCACATGTAACAGACTTAGAAATTTTGCAATCGATCTGTTATTAAGGAACCTTTTTACCTCCTTTAATGAAGTCAAGAAAGTATTGTAATCACAAAAAATCCCGGGTACCATATTTCAATGAAAATATACATTTTGACCACTATAGAATGCAATGTAACGATGTTTTTGCGTGAAATCTGTATTTAAGGACAGAATAAAGAACTCTTTTTCCCAAAATGAATTATAAAACTGATTTAAAATGGATTCATAAGAGATTTTTGCTTTGCCGCTAAAGTGACAACTGAATTAATTAAATGAGAAATATCTCTCTAATAGAATTTGATGAAATAAGTTTAAATGAAGTGCAGGAAGAACTGCTATAATTTAATGTTCCGTACATGGAAGTCATGTGTTGTATACATCAGCTTTTTTATTTGTGAATCTTATTGCACTCGTATAAATAATACTTATCGCAAACTATTTTTAAGTTTAGGCACACTTTTAAATGAACACTTTATATTTTTATATTACGCTGTATTCAGCAAAGCACGTTGATGGACAATCAATGTATAGTTGACCTTGAAAACGTGTCTAAAATTTCCCTCTCTAAGTTTAAGTACTGAACTATTTGCTGTTGAAGAAAGTCTTACTGTTAGCATAATCAAGCAATTAACACATAATTGGCGTGTTATTTTTATTTGAACTAAATCCATTGATGTAAAAATGAAAGGGTAATCAGAAGCGAACGAAACTGTATGTATGCCAGTGTAATGTTGGTATAAGTAAGTGATTACAAAATCAAAGCAAAAGGATTTTTTATTATAGGAAAAATTGCAATGGAAATCCTAGCACCTTCTTGGGACATTTCTAGCGTGAATACACGATTCGATACAGGCGTACATTGGGACATACGGGTTCTGTACAGTGTCCTGCGCTAACTCATTTCGCAGTTGCTGGAAGTCCGCCTTTAGCTTCACAAAACTACTAGGCTGTTCAACTTCCCGTCTTAAGTGATCTCATACGTGCTTGAAGGGATAAATCTGGGGATCAGGAAAGCAAGGGAAAAGGGATTACAGCCGAAAATATCGCAGCAAAATCATCGCAGATGAAAACGTAGCGGAGAAAACAAATCAAGGTGAAAAAGTCGTTGTACAAAACATTGTGGGACATGGGAAAACAAAAAGGAAACATCGTAGCACAAAATGTCGTTGCAAAAATAAAGTGCTTCAAAAACTTCGCAGTTTAGAAACATCATCGTCAAAAATATCGTGGTAAAAAATAAAGCACTTAGAAATCATCGCATGACGATAAAATCGCAGACATGCGTTTTCCAGTCTTTAAAAGTTATAAATACATATTCGCATAATGCATTGTGAGCGCAAAAAGGAAAGAGGAAAACTTTTACATTTCGTACTTTTGAATTAGCTAATAACTTTTTGTTGAAAATTAAAACGTAAATTTAAGCATTGAAAAATCAAAAATGAGTAGAACATTATTGCAACACATAGCACTTAGTAGAATTTTAAACTTACAGAGTTAATTCAAAAGATCATTAATAAATTAATCCTTTTTTAATAAAGTTTTACTGGTAATCTTTCATGAAAAATGTAGTCTAAAAAGCTTAGCAAAAGGAAGATTATAAATCATTATGCGAATATGCATTTACAACTCTTAAAGCCTGGAAAACGCATGTCTGCAATATTATCATCATGCGATGATTCTTAAGTGCTTTATTTTTTATCACGATATTTTCGCCGACGATATTTTTAAACTGCAAAATTTTTTAACTCCTTTGTATTCGGCGACGATATTCTCCACCACGATGTTTTAAGAACCGCGATATTTTCTCTTTGCTTTCATTTCTCCTACGATGTTTTGTACGATGACGTGTTCGCCTTGCACTGTTTTCTCCGTGATGTTTTCATCCACGATGTTTTCAGCGGACACCAGAGAACTGATATTGATATGAAAGCATTCCTATGACATACTTGTAATGTATGGTCGAAGGTTGTCCTGTTGAAAAATGTTTCCTGGGAGTTCTGCCATGGTTGACAACATGTGTGGCTGTAGGATGTCATGAACGGTCACGGCTGGGCTGTCATGGTGTCGTAGATTAATAATAGATTAATAATAGAGGTAACCGGGTATCATATGCAACAGCATCCAATACCCACATATCAATTATGGAAGCATTGTAAAGCGAATGCAAGATTGAGGCGTTCACCACGGGAGCCACCACTAACGTACACATTTGTCATCACCGCCCAAACTGATTCTCGATTCATCACTGGAGACTATCTGGATCCAGATTTTATAGTGCACGAGTTGTCTCTAATATATATGGTGAATGCCGAATGTTACCATTCTTGAAAACCATCTCTCTCTCCAACATTTTATATTCTGCGAGTACGGAAATGGTATAAGACGAAGGAAAGTAGGTTGGTGCGTAATAATCAATTATGTATTTGGAGTTAAAAATGAAAGTTGGTCATGGCTCTCTATATATTTTCGCTGCTAATGTTTGCTTATTTAAATGAAGAATACGGTTGCAGATCATTGAATCAAGGCCTTATTTATCCCGATTTATCTTCAATCTGTTAAGTGATGAACTCAGAGAATATTCTTAAAATAGGATTTTTTTTTTTACTGAAAGAAACGGAAATTATTACTACATTTCCTGAAATATATATTTTAAGAGATCATATGTTTCCAGTTTTTCATAAAACAATTTTGCAAAAGTTGAATAATTAAAATTTTTGTTAACAAAGACAGATTAAAGACAAATTAAAGTTGATCAATATTATTAATATTTAACAATGTTTTTACCCGTAAAGAGAAAGACTTTTATTAATTTCATGGGTTGATTTATTTTGTTAACTGAGTTGTTCACTGTAGTGTAAGGTTTGAGTTATGTTGTAAAAAAAAACAATAAAATAATTCATCCACCTAACGTTTAATATTTACTAAATAAATATTATTTATTTATTATTTAATTTCTTTTAATTTTATCGCCAAATCTTGAAATATATATACATCTTTACAGTTACATTTATTCTCTACGTTCTAATTCTTCCTTTCCCATTTCCATGCAACTCACGCCACAGAGAATTTTCTCATGTTCTCTTTTTCGATTCGTTAGAAAATCGGGACTTAAAAAAATAACTTAAATATCTTACCCAAACAATTTTATGTGCGTTTGAGAACAAAATTTCTTCAGATTGCGAATAATTACAATAGAAATATTATAAATTTAAATATTTAAAAGTGTTTGTTTTAAAATTGTTTTGGTAAAGCTTTAATCATTTACATTTATCTATTTTTTGTTTGCTTTTAGTCTTCTTGAGCTTGTAAGCTATATGCAGTGCCATCCCTCATATCTCTTTTCTTTTTGACCTAATTTCCTGCGTCAACATTGTTCTAAAAGAACTTAAAATTCTTTCCAGTAAAATACATTATTAAATTAAAGATTTCCTTAAAGTAAGTTTTCATCCTTTTTAAATTTTGAGATTTAGGATTCATTGAATCATTGTTTCGACATAATAAAATTACAACGAATTCATCGCTGGAACCGGATTTTTTTGGTAATTTTCGATAAAATTTGGCATTTCCGTTTAAGAGATTCTATTATTCTTACGAAAGTTGAATTAACGTAGAATTTACAAATTTAGGAATATGTAATCTAAAAGTAATACAAATTGTAAACTAAACAATCTAAAAAATCACATTAGCGTTCTTTTGCACAGTCATAATTATTTAATAGCAAAATAGAAGGGATCGATAAAATTGTTAAAAATTATTGAACTGGTCCGCACTTGGCTTACGGACAACTTTGCATTCGAAATGGTTTACAACTTTTGCATTCGAAATGGTTTGTTTAGCTGCTACTTCAGCTTATTAATGACACTATTTACGAAATTTTTACCTACGAATGGGCTTCCGAGACACTTCATAAAACTGATTCCCAATTACAGTATAAAATACAGTAAGATTTAAATCCCTAATAGCAAGAGGATTATAAAAATTTACCTTAAAGTTAGAAGACATAGCTGTACCGAACCCATTTCTGATGAACAGGGAAACAATTAAGAGTCAGGCAGTGCACCAAAGATTATTGTGTGTATAAGTTCACGTGTTTGAATCATCTTTCATTAGTTAAATCAGGGAGATAAATGCTTATAATAAATGGGTAAAATATGCGTGTTATAAACTATATCAAATTCGTATATTATTTAAAAAATAGGACAAAGTAAGGAATTTCAAAGAACTTACAGCGAATTATAAGACGGGGTATAAACTTACAGGGGTTATAAGATGGGAAAAAACATCGCAGACGAAAACAAAGCAAGGCGAAAACAATGTCGAGCAAAACCATCGTGGGAGAATAGAAAGCAAGAAGAAAAGATTTGCGTGAAAATAGCTGCAGTGATTGGATCGTAAGAGATGGGCCATAATCTGGTCTATCAGAAGCCCTGAATGCATCTCTGTAGACTTATTTCACAAAGGTGTGTCAATCAACCCAATTTACAAAGTGGTTCTGGAATTATGATAAGTTACTTCAAGTGTTTTTAACGGCTTTTTCTAGGTTTTAAATTCCCTTCCTATTTTAGATAAATGTATAGATGTAAAGATTCCGCATTAGATTTCGGCCTGTGCCTATTGTGAATCATGTTTGGAGTTCTCAGTGCTACAGTGGTTCTCTGCCATAGAGGCTGGATATCATGA